GGGATGAGGGCTTTTTATGTATACTATCACAGGGGCCTGTAACAGTGTTTCTAGGGGATGAGGGCTTTTTATGGTAAACTGTCACAGGGGATTGTAACAGTTCTGGTGGATTAGGGCTTTTATGGTAAACTAAACTGTAACATTATAACAGGGGATTAAATGTAACAGTTCTGGTGGATGAGGGCTTTTATGGTGTGCTATAACTAGTACTATTTACTAGTTATACCATATAAGCCTACATCTCCATAAATGTTGTCACAGGCCCCTGTGATTTCTGATTTATCCGTCAAACACCAGTATGATTCAACAATAATCAGTAATGATTTATGCTTACAGGTCTGTACCATGTAGCAAATAATTTGTATTAGGTACTATTTAATCAGTTATATGACATTGTGATTGTCCTGATATACTCGGATAATTGAAGCTAACTGAGTCATGTGACAATAACGATATGTCAACAGATGTTTATACCCATCTTACTGTATCATAGATCAAATATTCACGATCAAATTAATCTCCCAGAAAATGTCAAAAATGCCACTTCTACGAAGACAATACAAGTGAAAGTATCAAAATGATTAAAAGTCTCAATTGTAATTGATTTTATACAACTTAATGAGATGATATGAACTCTTCTTAGTTGGAGATAATATTAGTTCTGGAACTGTGTTATATCGTTATAGTACAGGTGAAAACACATGAAGGAGACATAATCGTACAGAGCGTTTGCTTTCATTTATTCAAATCTGGTTGGGTCTGTAGTCACAGGTTTTAAAACTATTTTCATTTTCTTAATGTAGTATCTCCTTTTTCTGTTATCAATTATTACATATATATATAACCTAAGTGGAAACAATTGTTAGTATAACATGAGAAAGTAGCAAGTTACGGTAAAGCCGACTATTTTTGTAGAGATGATATTTTTGATTTGCTGTACATGAAAAGTTATCTTGAAAATGGAATCCATGATATAATAAGACTACTGTGTATTAGTCCTTTTACATCCAGATTTCAAAATGTATAGGTATAATAACTTAAATGAATTTTCAAATCCTTTTGTTTTGTAAAATGATGGTGATGTCAGACTATAAAGGGATGCAACTGTTGTAATAATTTTTATGACAGGTTTCAAATTCTTGATAGTTGTATTATCATCACAGAATCAAATTCCTGCAACTTAAAAGTTCAGCAAATTCATTTGGCCATAGCTTTTTGACTCGAAGGTCAAGGACATTTTTAACTTATATTTGAAAGTTTTTCACTCAAACCTGGACTGACTTGAACAATTCAATTTGTGTGTAAGGCAAAAAGTGTTAAGTTTTTATTGTAGTTTTGAAACAATCAGCATTCCAATTAGGACTTCTCTGATTGGTTACTGATGGTCTTTTGTTAATTGTTTTATGGGTAGCTCAGGATGATTTGATTGTACAGAAGAAATGTAACTAATGGACTGGTCACTGATAGCTTCAGGTTCAGTGTGGTACATAGTTGTAAGGCTGATATTACAGAGGGAAAATACATGAAATAGAACATGGTTGTTATTGCTTTTGGTCATAGAATTCCCTTTAAGAAAAAATCAAGATGATAATAAATGTAGTGATATTGTTTGTTTTTGGGTGCAATAAATCAATTCTGATTGACTTAGGTTATAGCAAACAATCTATAATGATTACTCAGTGAAACGTATTGAACCTGTACAGATCAAAAGATATGTCAGGTAAGACTTCAAATATTTTACTCATTGATCGAGTCTCCATTGGAATTTTCAATATCAAAAATGTTTTTTCTTCTGTCAGTTCTTGAGATAATCTAGCAGGATCCAGTGCAATAAATTGGAGTATAGTACACTGAAGTATATAAGTTGAATTTAATTATACAGGTTTTAACACTTTAAATTGTAAATAAAGTTACATAGTTACTCTCTGAATAACACAAGGTATGACAATCTTCCCAATCCTATCATTAACTACGTATATTATCCTAGCTAATGGCTACTCAATGGACGTACAGCAGACAGTAGAGTATTGTGGTCACAAGGTATTATGTAGGTAGAGATTGTCTGAGAAAAATTTAGCCTTGAGAGATGGACCTCAGTTTTGTATACAAGATAATTGGTTGTGGAGCTTTTACATATTATTTGAAAGTTGTAACAAATTGTGTTGTGTGACCACATCCTCGGGCTTCCAATATATAATACTACCATTCAGTATATCACTTATGCAGATTAATATCTACTTCAAGGTGACAGATCTCTCCATAAACCCAATTAAATGAAGAAAAAATTCAATTAGTGCCTAGCATTAATTTTGGCGTTTTGCTGTAATGAGATCAGTGGGGCAGTATTATTATATTTTTATGTTATAAATAACTTTGGGTTTACCTGTTGTTTACCTGTGTACTGTTCTTACTGTGTGTGTGTGTATTACTTGTACGGCTGAGTGATTGCTGTTGTGGTAGTTTACATGGTCCTCACCGCGATACAACTATGTAGTCCCCACATGGCCAAACCAGGTATGCGATATGTCCATCAATCTCGTTAACCTATCTTTCTCACCTGAATGAGATTGTGGAACTTTATCTCTTCTACAGAGTTTTTTTCACCTGGATTTTTACCTTCCATGAGTGACAGAAACAGTCCATTACTGACCAGTATAGATTGGAAACATGTTTATGATTTACGGGAGTTACCATTTCTAACTTTGCAAATATGCTTTTGTCTTAAGACAATTGAGTGATATAGGCTGACATCATTGGCACTAAGAAGTTGTCATTCATTGTAGTGGTCCTGTATTCAATCATACTGGTGTACTATACTGTGTTGTATGCAAATGTTTTGAAACCAGAAATTAATGCATGATTTCAAGGAGAACTGGTGTCTGATATTCAAAACTGTTATCTGATGGAATATGAAGTTTATCAGGATTAAACAAGAAGAACCGTAAGTTTAAATTAAGGACTTTTCCAGTGTAAGTTACACTATTACATGTAAATGCCTCTTGATTGTGAAAACATTGCCAAGGCAGCTGTAACCAGATCAAAGAAAAAGACACTTGAGAGAAAACTTGAAGATTTGACAGTTACATAACAATTCTTTATCCTTTGGAATCATACAACTCTTTTACCTATTAGTGTGCTGGCAGACAAACCAATTATTGTAAAGGAAGAATCCAGGTACCATAAAAGCTTGATTTGAATGTGAAACGTGTTATTGGAGTCACCAGTAAAGGTATTATGACCAGTTTCAAAGTGATTCAATATTTTTAAAGCCAAATATTTAGGAATCTCAGGATTAAATTGATGACTTTAATATAAACAATATTGAACATCTTGAAGGTGATGTTGGGATGGAGAAATTTTTGTGCTGGATGGATTATTTTGTCGACTATTGGAAGGAGTTTACCTGTGTTGGTGAAAACATTGGGTAGATCATAAGGATGACACTAGTGTATCAGATTTGGAATCAAACTTACACTTCAATATCTCACAATACCAGATATTACTAGAATTTACAGCATATAATTAAAGCCACCTTGTTACTTCAGTAGTTATAACAACAAACCTGACATTGAGGATGACTGCTAAGATATTATTGATTTGTAAATCATAACATCAGGTATATTCATGTCAGAATTACTTTTTATCTACAGTACATGTCATTCCATTATATACTGATTACAACTACAGTAGGTGGACATTACAGTAAAGCCCCTGACAACTTGACTCTAGATTGGCTATTGGACAGCTCACATCAGGTCAAATGTCAAGGTCAGGTCCTTTTGACTGTTAGAGATATAACAGTAGGGATAGGTTGAGATATAAATTATTGTATAGGGTTTGAATAGTAATGGCCAGTCCTAAAAACATACCCGAGGATCTACTAGAAAATGTACACTAGATTATTTCATTATGGTTATCTCCCTTTAATTTTGTTTGAAAGATTTTATTCCATTTCGTTTTCCAAAGTCAAAGTAAAACAAAACGGTAATGTCTTTATCTCAGAAAATTTTACTATATAAAGAAGTAGATATTTGTGAATATCAAATTTTTATAACCCTCCGTGTACTGCTATATATTGGTGTGAAGTTTAGTACCTACATATGACATGGTTTATGGTCAGTGTTATTGATTATGACCTATTTATAGATTGTTCTGGTCTGTAATGACCTACTTTATGAACATAAGTGATGACAGTTTGACATATTACTGAGAGTTAATTATTATGACCCAACAGTGTTAATAATGATATAGAGAAGATGTGTCAGATATGACTGTTACTGTGAAAATAATCCCCCTCATTGTTTTAAGTAGCAGTATAGGTATGTAATGGACAGAACCGATAAACTGAGGACATTTTTAAACAGTAAGATATTTCTCCTGGACTGAGCTACTGATGCATAGATGTAGACTGAAAGATGTGAACTTTCAGAGCTTATTTAGAGGAGTTTATAGTATACAATTATATAGTTTATAGACTTCTATTATTGACCTTTATAGTCAGTTTAGCAGTACATGTGTTGTTTTACATACTTGTTCTGAGGTTCACATAAATTCATAGACTTTTAAAGGGACACACATAAATTCATTAACCTGACTCAAGATAAAATTTGTGCGTACATGCAGGCAATCAGTAGAAGTTAGCAGACCTAATCCTCCCCATTTCTGAACTGATATCTGCCCCCTCCTCACCCACACACACACGTACACATTAATCATGGTGCTGATTTTTCCTTCACCCCCAAAACACACATACATACTCGTGCACTCGCAGTAAACATGTAATACAGAGTGATTCAAGAATGAAGACAGTTTTACTGTTGAGTGGCAGTAAAGTGTGTATCTACAGCTGATGAGGAGCCAGGAGATGTTACACTGTACATGTGGTGCAGCCTCTGTGTACCCCAGTTTGTATACATGTGTGTGGACCCCCTCATCTTGGAGGTGTAGTAGGAGTTCTGATCAGATGGGGCCACTATAACATAAACAACAGTCTGTCTATATCTTCAGGATATTGGAATCTTCACAACAGGATATTACGCACTGAGTCAGGATCCAGTGTTGGAAATGTGATTTAAAACTCCTATAACTTCAGAAAGTTACGAAGTAAGGCCAGTGCCATGATGTCATGGATATTGAATATTTCTTGTAAGATGAAAAAAAAAATGTGAAAAATCTTACATGATGAGATTGATTGTTTTGTGTCTTAAAATGTAAACACAAGTATTTTGAAGTGAAAATCACTGGGCAAAAAGAATTTGAAGTAAGTTTTGAAAGTTTTTGTTTCCTTGGTGAGGATTATAAGCTCAAAGCTGTTGAAGATTGATCCTTGAAGTGTGAGGATAATTGGCCTTGGGGGACCAGATAGTACTATCAGTCTGACCAGGTGAGTAGAGAGAAAGGGCATCCCTGGTACAGAAGGCTTATACACAGTGTGTGATGACCTACTATATACAAGTATATCTCCAGGATACAAACTTGTGTGCTTCGCAACCTTCTAGTAGTGTGCTTCACATCTCAGGAAATCACATCTTACCATCGTACCAAAGACAGCTTTCTTCAGAGTTCTAGTGCATCTTGCCATCTCTTTGGCTACAGAAATTGGAACTTGATGAAAGGATACATATATGTTTTCAAATAGTGTGATTAAGATTTCTGAGATACACACAAGTTTATGTGCCATTCAGGAAATCGGGAAAAATCAGGGTCAGCTCAGCTGTGTTATTCTTGACTTTAATCTGAAAGTATGTAAGTTTTTCAGAAAGATTTTTAACATCAATGCTACTGTGAAGTTCTGCGGAAGAACCTGCATCCTACATCCTGTCCAACACAGGTGAGGGTATCCACACAATACAGCCTACTGCATCTTAACAGGGTCATAATCCACTGAAGATGTGTTCGTCTCAATAATGAATTTTCCCTGAAGAAAAAAGAAAGAAGATTTCTGAGATTTGTACAAGCTTAATGTTTTTAAAATCTCACTAATGGTATTTGTTTCCTGACAAGGTTGGAAATGGCTATGTTTATCAGATTTAGAGTTTGATGGGAGAACTGAGGTTGCCAGTTGTCTCAATTCTAATCACTTAACTGTTTTTGTTGAACTGTCGAGAGATTTAAAAATCTTTACATTCAGTGTGTCACTTAAAGGTTTTTACGGAGAACCCTCATCACATCTCAGGAGTGTTAAATCAACCCAGCAAATTTTTGGACAGAAGGACTTTTATAATAGAATTGAGGCATACTGCACTTATTTTACAACCTTTTCTTTTAAAGAAATCACATCTCTGTCTCATAAACTTGTTTTCATGACCAAGCATTGGAGACTTACTTGTCGAGAAAGATAAAGAAAAACCGTTTTAACACTTAACCTTCTTACTACAAGTGATGTAGACATGAACTTGTCTCATTATCTACAGTCATGTCTACTTTGGACCAGTGAGTGTTATACTATAAGGAAGCTGGGCTCCTCACTTTGAAATGTGCTGTCAATGACACTATGGTTAGGATAACTATTGGTTTGACAACTTTATCTATTAGCTGACCCTGACAATCCAGAATTCTAGACTTTGGTGTTCTGAATAGATAAAATGTAGAAATTCATTATTAAAACAATGGAAATAAGATTTTTGTGACATAAAAATTCAGTTCCAAGATAATACAGATGATTAACAAAAGTCTTTGGAGATGATTTGATGTACGCATATATTCTATAGAAGTTATATACAACTTCTAGGAAGTGCTATTCCTAAGGGAGGTATGAATTGAGCCTTTATTTGTTTACATGTTTCTGTGGATGTAAAAGATTTACATGTTTGTGGTGTCGACGGGGCCCGTCAAAGTCGGGGGAGGCGTAAGCCCGACAGGGTCCGTTAAACTCGGAGTTGGACCAGGACTAGTGCCATCAGTGTCCGTTAAACTGGGAACAGGCAAGGTACCCAGGAGAGCTGACTCAGGTGGAGCGGATATTATGCAGAAGACCTGGGCTGGAGCCAAGTATGTTTATACCCGAGTTAATGTCTACCACAGTACTCGCATTGAACTCCGTTGGAAGCGATCAGTTCACTATTGCGATTCATGTGACTATGGAGCGAGTGGGATCGGAAGCAGTGCTCCAGGGGTCAGGGGTCGGGGAAGTGTTCCATGTGGGGCGGTCCACTATGGACGGTGTACACCTGTGTCCTATCCGTTTCCACAGAACTACAGAAAAAAGAGCCCAATATCACCCTCTTCTCCTGGCCCTATCCCTGTGGCCAAAGTCATTCCCACTCGACCAGTTAGACCCGAGCCAACCACTGACCAATCAAGGGTCACTGAGGTCGAGCCAGACAAGGGAGATAATGTTGATGGGGTAAGGATTGTATGTTTAAATACTGAAGTTTGTGCATGAGAAAAAATGTTGAATTGTAGATCACTTATTTAAAGCAACTGAAATTGTTACAAATACGTTTCACATTTTACAAGTTATTCTAATCTGGTCCCTACGTGCCACATCTGATAGTGTTATATAGGATTATTGGTACGTTGTAAGGAATGGTTTATATTGGTACGTTGTAAGGAATAGTATGTCCTGTAGATTAATAACAGTCAATACACACACAAATTGACCAGGACTGATCAGTGTGCCAAGTGTATAGTATTTCATAGGATTAATGGTACAATATAAGGAACAGTACTACTTGGTTTAATTCCTGAATAATTGGAACCAAAGATCAGGGTCGTTGGGATGTTTTGTGTGACTAATTATCATAATCATACAACTAACTGCCTGAAATACATTCCAAAAGTATATTAAGATAGTATTTTTTCACTTCTCTATATTAGTTTTAAAGTTAAGTGTTTACATAATTTAAGAAAGAATACATTAATCAAATAGAAATAAAATTTCGAGCCACAGTCGCTTATTATCAGATATAATTAATTACAAATCAATTTTTAATTTTGTCTCCGTGTTGATATATAGTCTAGAGTATATATGTTGTGCGTGGTCAATCACTAGTGGAAATGAGGACTTTAAGGCGTTTTTTTCCCCAGAATTAGGTCAGTAATAGTTAATATGCAGGATTTGATAGACAGGTGATCATGCTCTTGTCAGACAGGCGTTATATCATTACTGAAATCGTGATTAACACTTTCAGCAAGTCCTGCTACTGGGTAGGCGGTGATTACCATCATTAACACTAGAGGGATAACACTGGAGAAAGTCCAGGCTGGGGTTGGAAAGCTAATCCTATAATAAAGGAAGGTTAGAGGGGAAAGGAATATTTAAATATTACAAGTGTTTTTTGTACTGATAACCAATAGCTGTGGAGAAAGCTGGTGCTACAATTTTAAAGGAAACTGACCAACTTCAACAATTTGCAGATAATGCTGCTGGTTCAGAAAGTGAACGGGACAGTTGTAATATGATAATTAATCAATTACTGTATGTAGAACAGGAAAACACTGTAGAGAGGAATAATTACAGGAGGTCAGTTATATCATAGTGTGTCTTGCAGGGGATGGGTTTGGGTTGGGATTGGGGTTAGGGTTGGGGTGGGGTTAGGGTTTGGGTTGGGATTGGGGATAGGGTTGGGGTGGGGTTAGCGTTTGGGTGGGGGTGGGGGTGGGGTTTGGGTGGGGTTGGGGTGGGATTAGGGTTGGGGTTGGGGTGGGGGTTGGGGTGGGGGTTGTGTTGGGTTGGGGTTGTGGTGGGGTTGGAGGTTATTAACTGTGGATGATGAGATGGGAGGAGAAATATCTAAGTCATGATGATAGTGCAGAAGGAGGGACCCTGAATCAGTTTAAAAGGCAGGGGATTGGAGGTTGTGATGTAAGTATGATGAGGAAGTGGGCTGATCACTGGTAATTATATATGTAGTAATTGTCTGTTGAAACAGTCACGTGGGAGGGGCTCATTCTAGGCTGTCAGTAAGGGGGCATATGGGTGGAGTAAGTATTGATATCTGGGTGTGACTGTATACTCCTATGTCCTCAAGTGTTATGTATAGGGGGTGTGAATCTGTGTGTACCAGTATTTCAGAGTGAGAAAATTGGGTGGGGGGTCCTAGTGTACAGTTACAAGTGATATCATCAGTCCTGCTTCACTGTGTACATGTAGAAGTGGGGGAAAGATAGTTAGCTTTCATTACAATCAATACTCACTCATTTCAATCTCAATGTTGATTAAATCTTAAACTTGTGCAGACAATTTACACCGTACTTCTAATTCAGCACTGTGTAAAATGTCTTAAAAGATAAAAATGGTTACTGTTGTTCTTATGAAATTTCTTGTGGGATTTAGATTTGTTGTACAGGTGGTGAGAAATTGAATTTGATGAAAATATAAGGATAGTTTGCGAACAATGGTGAATTGATTAAACATGGAGTGATTTAGACTGAAAACCAGGAAACTTTCTTTTGTCTTACAGAGTAGGTTTAGATTTGAACAAGTCGTGATCCTGATACATGTCATGGCATTTGATACATTTGATGAAGCATTCAGTCTGTTGTTAGTACAAAACAGTACCATAAAACAGACTAACGAAGAAATTTATACTGTGTATATGTTGAACTGAAGCATTCAGTCTGTTGTTAGTACAAAACAGTACCATAAAACAGACTAACGAAGAAATTTATACTGTGTATATGTTGAACTGAAGCATTCAGACTGTTGTTAGTATAAAACAGTACCATAAAACAGACTAACAAAGAAATTTATACTGTGTATATGTTGAACTGAAGCATTCAGACTGTTGTTAGCATAAAAACAGTACAATACAACAGACTTTCGAAGAATTTATATTGTAAATACGTTATACAGTTGTACAGTATATTCAGCCTGTTGCTCTAGAATAAAAGATTCATAAACATTTCAAGTATTTTTGCCTGCAGGGAAAAAGATTGTAACGGCATACATAACTGACAATGCTCAGACTACTTAAGATAGGTATCACCAACACATGCTCACAACAGGTTTTCACAAAATTGTACTCTACTTTCACAGTAAACATAATAATGTAGGGATAATTTTTGTGGTAAGGTACACTTCATTTTCAAAAGCATAAGAGTGTTTTTATCTCCTGATTGATAGGTTATAAACAATATCAAAGTACAACAGTAGATACATTAACATCTGTTAAAACTCCTTAATCAAACTGTTGTAGAACTGCCTCACAAACATAGTGGTCAAACTGTTGTAGAATTGTCACACTCCATAGTGGTCAAACTGTTGTAGAATTGTCACACTCCATATTGGTCAAACTGTTGTAGAATTGTCACACTCCAACAAACATGCTCACTCCCAACACTGTTTTCACAAAATTGTGGTCAAACTTTCATTGTACACATCCATATTGTCAAACTGTTGGATAATTCTCCCATGGTGGTCAAACTGTTGTAGAACTGTTTCACTCCCATAGTGATCAAACTGTTGTAGAATTGTCACACTCCATAGTGGTCAAACTGTTGTAGAACTCTCTCACTCCCATAGTGGTCAAACTGTTGTAGAACTGTTATAAACAAACTATCAAAGTCAATTCCATACAGATTGTTGTAGAATACATTAACAACTGTTGTAAAACTCCTTAATCAAACTGTTGTAGAACTGTCTCACTCCCATAGTGGTCAAACTGTTGTAGAATTGTCTCACTCCCATAGTGGTCAGATTGTTGTAGAATTGCCTCACTCCCATGGTGGTCAAACTGTTGTAGAACTGTTTCACTCCCATAGTGGTCAAACTGTTGTAGAACTGTCTCACTCCCATAGTGGTCAAACTGTTGTAGAACTCTCTCACTCCCATAGTGGTCAAACTGTTGTAGAACTCTCTCACTCCCATATTGGTCAGATTGTTGTAGAATTGCCTCACTCCCATGGTGGTCAAACTGTTGTAGAACTGTCTTACTCCCATAGTGGTCAAACTGTTGCAGAATTGTCTCAATTCCATAGTGGTCAAACTGTTGAAGAATTGTCACACTCCATAGTGGTCAAACTGTTGTAGAACTGTCTCACTCCCATAGTGGTCAAACTGTTGTAGAATTGTCTCACTCCCATAGTGGTCAAACTGTTGTAGAACTGTCTCACTCCCATAGTGGTCAAACTGTTGTAGAACTGTCTCACTCCCATAGTGGTCAAACTGTTGTAGAACTCTCTCACTCCCATAGTGGTCAAACTGTTGTAGAATTGTCTCACTCCCATAGTGGTCAAACTGTTCTAGAATTGTCTCACTCCCATAGAAGTCAAACTGTTGTAGAATTGTCTCACTCCCATAGTAGTCAAACTGTTGTAGAACTGTCTCACTCCCATAGTGGTCAAACTGTTGTAGAACTGTCTCACTCCCATAGTGGTCAAACTGTTGTAGAAGTGTCTCACTTCCATAGTGGTCAAACTGTTGTAGATACAGATATGGAAATGTAATTTAAAGTATGTATAGAATTGTAAAAAACACTTCTTTACAACGCCTAAAACACTTAGATGTTCCATATTCCTTTTTTTTCGCTGCCTAAGGCATGTCACGTCAACACATCTAGTCTAGTTTCTGATGAAAATTAATGATAAGTGTTTGGAAGTTGAATCAGTTGTTTTTATGGAGAATTGTCACTGGTGTAAGATTTATTTTGTAAAACAGAATGACATATTGAATATTCTGCCACAGTGTATAAATGTACTAGTAATTACATTTTTGCCAGTGATTTTGAGAATTAATATTAATATAGTTATTGATGACAAGCATACTGCTACAATATTAATTTCATTTATTTTAAATTTTTGAATGTTTGAATTTTTAGCAATGTTATCTATTGAATGTCTTGTGCAATTGTTTCTTGTATTTACAAAGCTATTGATTTGGTATCAGTTGACACAATATCAGACTATTTTCTCACACTTGTGAAAGAAACCTTATACAAAATCTCTATTAAAGATTGTTAAAACTATGTTAATTTCTAGTCATGGAATTTGCCTTAGTCATTGATAATTCTGTTGTTATGGTAGAACGATATGGTGACACATAAACAAATTCTATACCAATAAATACATTTACATGATAGGATATTAAAAGTAAGTCTCTGTAGTGGAAACATTTTAGGAATTTCAACTGGAATTTAAATTGTTTTTAAGTAACCATAATTTGTCACTCACTTTTTCTCACTCTGCAAATTTAGATTTTGATCTGTTATCGTGACACACACTTGTGTGTTATAGCTTTCATATCTAAACAAGTTAAACAGCCAGTTATCAAAGTAGATAACCTCACTATTTTCAAGGGGAAGGAGGGGATAGGGGTGGAGGATGGGGCATAGTGTTTCATATCTTTGTGTACTTTCATTACATTCTACTTTTTTGCTTGGGAACTGGAGTGTTACAGTCTTACAG